GCCGCCGAATCCTGCTCCTGCCACGGCTCAAGCTGCTGGTAACCGTTCCTGCTTTCACTGTGGATCTTCTAACCACCTTGCTAACAAACCTTCATACCCTGCTGTTAAAGTGATCTGCAACATGTGTGGTAAAGTTGAACATTTTTCACAAGTATGCCATTCAACCCAAAAGGAAGTATGTGAAGTTGTCATTAATGAGCACATAGTTCTTTACGTGAACAATACAGTACAAGACTAGATCCTCTGCACATCCTGATGCATGCTTAATAATCCAGGTAGAAAAATCTAAAAAAGTTGAGTCTGGTCCTCTGGACATTCAAAAAACAAAAACAAACAAAAAAAAAGTAGAAACGTTTCATCTTTCATCTGAGAGACTTCTTCAGTCTGAGGTGCTGTATTCAGCTCAGTCTCTTAAATAGCACCTTCTCAGAGTGGATCAACCAGTTTTGCTGCTGACAACCAAAACCAGCTGCTCACATGCTCAAGAAGGACCATCAGCCTAACAATGGATCATTAGCACACTGATGGCTGTTTACTGTTCACAGAGGGCTGAGTGATACTAGCAATCACAGCATTGTAAGAGGGGGACAGTTGAACCTGGAGGCCTCCACCCCTGTTTAATGATGGACGGTTTCTTTTCACAAAGATGGCCTCCTTTACTCCTCTCTCAAACCATCGTTCCTCTCTGTCCAGGATGTGAACATCTTCATCCATGAAAGAGTGACAAATCAGCTGTATTTCAAAAATAGTTTTGCTGCCTTGGTGCTCTATGAACGTGCAGAAGGAAGAAAAAGGAGGAGGGAGGAACGCGACTCGTCTTTCTGAAATTTAACAAGAAAAGCACCTAAACAATTATGTGTTTGCTCTAAATTATAGCAAAGGTGTGTCTCAGTCTAACATTTGCTTAATAAATGCACTTTAATGGTCAAATTAGCTGCATTTCGCCGGGGTGGTGCAGCTGTTCCAAGCAGAGAGCAGAATGAAGGTGGGGAGGGTATGGCAGGCCGATTGAGTCATTAATATCTGATGAAGATTCTCAGTCATCCAGGACATGGTAAATTCAAAAAATTTCAAGACAAAAACAATAAAGTATGTATAATAAATAAAGTCCAGTTGTTTTTGTCTCGAACTTTTTTGAATTTGTCATTATAGCCACGTTTACCTATTACAT